CTCGCAGTAGAAGAGAATTGTATGGTATGTAGCTTAAGGTTGAACTGTGATGCTCTCTGAGCTTGGTTGTTTGCTTGCAGATGTTTCATTACCCAATTAGGTAACATTATCAGTACTGATGAGTGTGGGGTTTGCTCCTTATTTATAAATAGCAGCTTGCCCTGCCAGTGTTGGTGGGGGTGTGGTTTTCTCCTTGGTAGTTCCTTGATTAGGGTATTGTCTTCTGCTTGATTGTTTGTCTGGTGTTAATCCCTGTTTATCTGGGTATTGATTGCTGTAGAGGATATCTTACGGTCTTTTTGTTTCCTTCTTAGCTTTTTATTTCTTCTGAATGATGTGTAAATGTGGTTTATTGCAATGTGTTGATCAACTATTATATATTTTTCTGCTGTTTAGCTCTTAGATCTGACAACCACACAATGAGAAATAGAAATGCTAATTTTGATTAATCACAATTGCTAAATTGTTAGTTGTTAGATGTTAGAGTGAATTAGAGATTGCTATATTGTCCAGAGTACTTTTGAAGGGCAATTTTGGTGGACTACACCAGGCTGAATATAAATATATAGATTAAAATATGGACATTAATTTTCAAAGTAATTTTATTTATATAGTGATTATTTTATTTGATTAATCGTATTTGTAGCTTGCAAATAGTAACTTGAAGTAGTAATAACATACTCTAGTCTACATGCAATTATAATATTGCATTATGCATCTAAAGGCAGAATAAGCAATTGAAATTAATGTTGTTTTCTGAAGTATAGAACGTTTCAAATAGATGATTAAAAGATCCCTACGCTGTATTGAAAGGAGTAGCCTGCAGTTTTAATCCATTTCCATCGTTGCTGAGCTGGTTAAAAAGCTTTACCCAGCTGTGCTAGCTTTTTGTTAACATCAGCCAATTACAACCACATGATGTAATTTGATATCTGAAAACAGATATCAGATAGTGGATTTGTGTTACTCATAAAACTAGTAAAATAGCTTAAAATGTCAATGTGTGGGTGGGGGGAGAACATGTTTTTTTCCCTATTTTGAGGCCAAGAAACTGATTTTATGTAAAAGAGTAATTCTGCAAAATTCAGTTTTTTAATTTGGTATATGAAGATTGTTGCAGCTGGTTACAAATTAGAATTGGAAAGTCAGCTTGGATATGGAGATCTAGAATTGTTTTGCCAATTTATCTTACTAAAATATCTCTTAGGAATGCATTTCAATATAAAACCCATCAATATCTTGAAATATAAAGTATTTAAAATCCACCAGCTGTAATTCTCAAAAATTAATTTGTTTATTTAAATTTATTGGCCACCCAACTCCAGTGGACAGTCTCTAAATTGACATGTCATGTTTTCTTGCTGATCCTCTTTGTGGTCATTTAAATTACTTTGCATTTGCAATGTTTGTGGCATATTGTCTATTCTGGTTTTCCTCTACAGCCATAATAAAAGTTACCTAATTACTTAAGTATGGAGAGGTTACTAAGTAACTTTGATTACACATTGAACCAAAGATTTGCAAACATTGCTTCAAGATCAGAGCATGTCGTTCTTCTGCAGTGAAGAGGATTTAGTGTTTCCCTTAAGTTTAATTTAAAAACAGTGTGAAAATATGTTTTAGGGTTAAAGGCCTTTCATGTGTAGTTTCCGTGTATGTTTCCACTATCCGGCTAATTACACTAAAAAGCCTTCAGAACTCTCTTATATCTTACCAAATCACTTTATAAGACCTTCATCAAGTTTATTTTGTTTTGCATGCAGAATAAGTTGACAGTTATTTATGGTGATTATTAAATTTTGAATAATTTTGGTCCTTGGGTATATCAAATACAGCAGCAGAAAAGATGAATAAAAAATTTGAAGAGCCTGCAGTAAAAAATGAATGAAACAGAAACAAGCCAAGAGACAAGAACAAATTTCAAAAATGTGATATTACTAAATTTAAAAGAGAATGAAGAACAGCTACAGGACAACTTAGTGAAAATAATGAGGAGAGGATTGTTGAAACTCTAAAAATATTTTTAGAATGGGAGGAACTGGCCATCAATGGAAGTGGAAGTGGATATAAGCTGTACAGAATTAACACAAAAAACCTGAAAAGTTAAGAAATGTGTTAAGGAATGTACTTGTGCATCTTGTCAGGAAGAATACAAGACAACACTAAGCTAAAGTTTAAATAACTTGGGTCAAGTACTATGTAAAAGAAAATAATATAAAATTGCCTTGCTTGACCAGGAGTAAGACAATAAGTACTTTTATAAAATACTGGAATCCTTTGTGGACTTTTTGTTGAAAATGGAGAAGAATAAGTTGATGATTTCTGGATTTGGCAATTGAAAAGGGTAATTGAATATGGTAAGAAGTGAACTAAGTAATGCGATCTTAAAGGGGATAGAGTGATACCGAACTTGTTTGTAACTGCTGTACTAAAGATCAAAAGTTACTTCTTTAAATATATTTTTCTTTTTTAAAAAATTCTGCATTTTTTTCTCTTATTTCTTTCTTAATTTCATTTCTGTATTGTTTCATGTTTAACTTTTATTCACTTAAAAATCTCTACTAAATTATATATTTAGCATATTTAAATAAAGAATGTGTACTAGTGTGAACGAAAGTCCTCTCTTTGAAACATCAGGGCAGTAGCGTTTTCTGCAAGATGGCAGATACTCCTTTCTGAACAGTGGTAATTTGGACTGGATTTTCCATCGTTAAGCAATGCAGTTGTAAAATGAGATATTATGACTGCATCATTTAGTAACAGCAGTTCCAGCAGTCTCTGGTTACCGTCATTAAGCAAGGACCTCATTGCAATTTCCTTCTGGCTTGCAACAAGCAAAGTCAGTGGGGATGCTGGCAGGAAGTTGAAAATCCTGGGTGGCTTGCAAGCAGGCTAGTAGATAGGTAAGTGGCTGCTGTAACACAAGCATGGCTGGGCAGGAGTGTAGGAGGATATGCCGGTGGGTGGCAAGGCACAAGCACAGCCTGGCAGTTCTAATAGTCAATATCGGAACATTTTTAAATTGAGATTTGGTCTTGATATAGGTTTGCAGTTCAGTAAAAAAATCCACAAGTGTCCTTTTCCTTTCAAATATGATTCGTCTAGATCAGGGGTAGACAACCTTGGCTCTTTTATGACTCGTGGACTTCAACTCCCAGAATTCCTGAGCCAGCATGGAGTTGAAGTCCACGAGTCATAAAAGAGCCAAGGTTGCCTACCCCTGATCTAGATGTTCTTTGCAAAACTTGTGAGTAGTGAATAATTTGAATGGCTGCTGTCCTCTGTTCAAACAGATTGTTCTAGACAGAATAGACTGACTATGATTTGTATATTCTAGAGCTCCCCTGGCGCTGCGCTCCGCCTGCTTGCCCGGTGG